ACCTGGATTCTATCTCTCCGTCACCGACAGAATCGCTGATTAATGCTACAGTTCAAAATAGTCATTTTGACTGACCAGAGTCTATGGTGGGTATGAACTATGTGAATTGGCGGGTTCGGAGAACCCTCGCCTAATTTTGAATACATGTGTATATATATATATATATATATATAATATGTGTATAACGAATATATAAAATTTGAATATAATCAGTCAAAGCATTTAAGAGATATGGCTCCAGAAGCCCAATCATTAAAACAAAATGGCCGCCAGTCAGCCATTTTGAATCCAATCTGATAAATAAAATGACGTGCATCAGGAACCTGTAATGTCTAACGTATGTTATAAGTTTGAACAAAATCCATCCATAAATGTAAGAAATGCTTAATATTTGAGGATTTTTTTAGCACAAAAATAGCCACCATTTGGCCACTTTGAAAAGGATCGTCAAACCAATATATCCGTATATCTATGACATGATGTATAATAAATATTAAAAATTTGAACATAATCAGTGAAAGCAAGTCAGACATATAGCATGAGAACCACCTTTAATTAAAACAAAATGGCCGTCAGTTGGCCATTTTGAATCTAATCTGAAAAACAAAATTATTTGCATCAAGGTCCCATAATGTCTAATGTATATACCAAGTTTGAACAAAATCCATTTGTAAACAGCCGAAAAATGCTTGATTTTGTTGATTTTTTACACAAAAATGGCCGCCATTCTGCCATCTTGAATCAGATCGTGAAACAACTTGACGTGCATATGTATAATATCATGTATGATGTACATTGTATGTGTGAAGTTTTATTGTGATTGGTCCAGGCATTTCTAAGACACAAGTCCGGACGCACACACAGACGCACGCACGCGCACGCACGGACACACAGACTAATAAAACGGGACCAAGAAATTGCCCAGGGCATTTTTTCTGAAGTTTTTTAAGGATTTTTTTTTTATATTTTGGCATCATTTTTTCGGTCATTTCAATCATTTCTGATGCCTAAAATAGAGTCTAGGTTTTAGCGTAGTCATTGACTCCTATTCAAGAGTATGATATTTATTGTGACTAGTGTGAATCACAGTTTCGATAATGAGCTGTTATCACTATAAACAATGTTAAATTCTTCGTCAAATGCTCAGTTTATCTTTTGAAAACAAGTAGTTTTTTGATTTAAAAAAAATCATGTAGTTTTCCCATCAAAATCCAAGCTAAAATATCGTACTACAACATCAGCAAATCTCTTCCGCGTAGCATTCAATAACATTAACATATTTAAATGAGCTATGATAATTTGAACAGATTGGCATCATTCATCATTTTGATTGGTTAATTAGCGATTTGATCTATCAGGTCAAAAACACCGTCCCAGGTCAAAACATAGCAGATATCCTACACCATCGAGCGTTTATATGAAACGGAAATCATTCAATTACGATGAAACTAAGTTGAAATTTATTTGCATTTCATAACAATTCAACAAATTTATTTTTTGTATCTTATTATAATCACTACTAAGTAATAATCAACTGTTGTGAAATGCAGCATGACCAGATTGCGTTACCGCGATCATTTGCACTAAGCATTGCAGTTATGTTGGTTTTTATATGAAACTTCTTTTAGAATTTATGTTACTAATAAAATTTAAAAAAAATAATTGTATTGTTAAAATGATTTTTTGGAAAAAGATACCACTGGGCGACATTGTAATGACATTTTAGGTGGTCTACTTTTTTTCAGCAAGAAAAAGAATTATCAAATTTTAGATTAGCTTCTGCAATAGTTTCTTTCGTCTTGGGTGGTCCAACTGCTGGCATTGAAATTTGGCATAGGTGTATTTTTCAATGAAAATAGAAGTCCCAAAAAAATATTTGATGATAATTTTTTGAAATTAAGAGCCCACCAGCTGTGAAATCGCCCAGGGCCATTTTTTGGATGGGCCAATTTACAACAGAATCTAGTATAAGATTTAATAAACTGCACATTTATTTTTAGTATCATGACGCTAAAATTAATATATTTGGTAATAATTAAAGGAGAGTGAGATGAACCAGCTGACAGTATATGTACATGTATCACTCTGCTGATTTTTATTTACAGTTACAGACCATCATAGACTATACATAAAAATATATTCACATCTTATGTACCGGTAATCAACATGGAAAATGAGCCATTTAGATCAATATTTGAAACAAAGAATTACACTTCACTTCATCACTGTCTAAATTAGCTACAGATTTGAAAAGTATTAAGTAATGTGTTGAGGGAAAGTTCACCACAGTTTCACTATGTTACAGGCGAGGTCATGACAGTACAGGTGTAACTGACAGAGTGGTCAATCAGTTACTAACACAACTGGATGGAGTGGAGTCTCTAGATGGTAAGTCTACTCCATGATCTTTGGGTTGTAAATTAATTTCATCATCATTAGACCATGCACATTAAAGAAACAAAGTAGCTTGGCAAAATAATTGAGATTTTCTTCTGCTACAGTGAGTTTGTGTGAAAATGTGATTTGGTTGTTGTTTGATTTGGATTCGCCATGAATGTGACCAATAATCTTGCTGTTCTGATATGTACAAATAATAATCTCTTTTACATACCTAAATTCAGTTTTAGTTTACTAGGTCATTCAGCACTACATGTGTAACTATTGCTTAGACTCAAAATGAAATGTGTTTCAGGGGTATATGTGTTGGCTGCTACCAGCAGACCTGATTTAATTGACCCAGCTCTACTGAGACCTGGTCGATTGGATAAATGTCTCTACTGCCCTCTACCATCGCAGGTGAGTGCAACTGGTTCTACTCGTAATTCTATGTTACTATGGTTTATCTGGTATGTGGTTCATGTGACCACAGTTTAATGTGTTCGTGTGACCAGTTTAATGTGTTTATGTGACCACAGTTTAATTTGTTCATGTGACCACAGTTTAATGTGTTCGTGTGACCACAGTTTAATGTGTTCGTGTGACCAGTTTAATGTGTTCATGTGACCACAGTTTAATGTGTTTATGTGACCACAGTTTAATGTGTTTATGTGACCACAGTTTAATGTGTTTATTTGACCACAGTTTAATGTGTTTATGTGACCACAGTTTAATGTGTTCATGTGACCACAGTTTAATGTGTTTATGTGACCACAGTTTAATGTGTTTATGTGACCACAGTTTAATGTGTTCATGTGACCACAGTTTAATGTGTTCAAGTGAGCACCGTTTAATGTGTTCATGTGAGCACAGTTTAATGTGTTCGTGTGACCAGTTATAATGTGTTCGTGTGACCACAGTTTAATGTGTTCATGTGACTACAGTTTAATGTGTTCATATGACCACAGTTAATCTTGTATGTGTTCATGTGACCACAGTTTAATGTGTTCATGTGACCACGGTTAATCTTGTATGTGTTCATGTGACCACAGTTTAATGTGTTCAAGTGAGCACAGTTTAATGTGTTCATGTGAGCACAGTTTAATGTGTTCGTGTGACCAGTTATAATGTGTTCGTGTGACCACAGTTTAATGTGTTCATGTGACTACAGTTTAATGTGTTCATATGACCACAGTTAATCTTGTATGTGTTCATGTGACCACAGTTTAATGTGTTCATATGACCACAGTTAATCTTGTATGTGTTCATGTGACCACAGTTTAATGTGTTCATGTGACCACAGTGTATCTGGTATGTGTTCATGTTTGTACTTTGTTTATTTCATATGCATACTCGGTACATGTATGCATGACTGTATTGTGTGTTTTCTACAGGACGAGAGATTAGAGATCATCCAGGCACTGTCAACAAATTTAGAATTAGATGAAGATGTGGATTTATCAGTGTTAGCAGATCAGTGTGATGGATTTACTGGTGCGGATTACAAGGCTCTACTCTACAATGCACAGCTGGAAGCAATCCATGGATTAATTGACAATAAAAGATCACAAGACTATGAGATGGAACCATTCAATGATCGAATTCCGGAGAAAATGAGTCCTAAAGACTGGCAGCTAACATTCTTTGAGAGCATGGAGCAATATAGCGAAACCGGGAAAGCAAAAAGTGGGAATGATGATGATGTTGCTGCTGCTGCTGCTGCTGCTACTATGGCAACCGATCAAGATCTCGGTAGATCCATAACTGAGCCCTGGCAGTTTGCCAATGTGCAGCTAGATAACCATGGCAACGTGACTGTCAATGGGAAGAACAATGCTCTGCCTAAAGAAGACACTGAATTCGGAGGGAAGCAGAAAGTTGTGTACATGCCAACTGTGAGAGATGGTGTAGTGGATTCTGCTAGCATTGTACCGGACTCCATCATGACAGAGCTGAACATCATTAGAAGAAACTACAACCAACAAGAATCAAGATCAAATAAGGTAATGATTTGAAATATAATGTTTTTACTAAATATGATTGCTGTCATAACTAATTTCTAATTAACTTTATTTCTGTAAAATATGTCCTTGCTTTGCTATTTTCAAGTACTGTTAAATCTGTTCTGGATCAAAGCATGCGCACTGTGTTTTGTCAAGTCAGCCATGTACATTTTCACTCCAGTGATTCTGTCACGCTTCACTGCTACTAATCATTGCAACAGCTGTGGGTATTCGAAAAGTATGTATAACCGAAATGTGTGACATAACACCTTTTTTGTAGATTTGTTTGTCTGGAGTCACATTTTAAATGATGCAGATTATCGTTGTCATTTCAAAATGACTACAGGGGTGGGTGGGGTGTTATGAAATAAGCAGCATCAGGAATTATATGAAGGGGTTTTGAACATGACATTGTTTAAATACAAATCTCGAAATGCGCACACACAGAAATTGAGTCCCAAGCGACGATAACAACACGCGCTAAAACACAAAGGCTCATGACGCTTGTTTGTAAACAATGACACGCTATGGCCATCTGACACATGCGTAGGTGAGGACTCCCCTCGCTATAAAATTTTTATTGGATTGTTTAAGTTGATTACCTTATCAATAGTTAATTAGGACATTATGTTGTACAATATCTCAGTAGCAGAAACTGTTTTTTTGACATGTCATTAGGCCACACTGATTTAATTTTATGGATGACATCCTCTGAAGACCCCAAAACTAATGTGAGAGGGCGAAAAAAAAAAAGAATCCGGCCAAAAAAAAAAATGCTGCTAAAACAACAGGACTACGGAGCTATTATTACGAATTTAACCAGTGTATCAAAAAAACAACAAGTCTTAATTTGTAGGAGGCACATGCTGATGTACACATTTCGTACTGTATTACTGTCACAGGTATCATCACTTTTGATTTTGAAAAGGCAAGAGGATAAGGCAGATGTTAGCTTTGCCAAAAGCATACACATCAACTCAATAATAAAGAAAAACTTACTGTGTTGTATTGAAAAAAAAAAAATAATTAAAAATGAACAATAAGTTTGTCAACAGCAACCTGGAAATTAACTTCTTTGACATTCAAACTACAGCTTTTAAAGTGACACTTCAGATAGACTAAGTGTAGA